GGGCCCAATGCAGCGGTTCTTAGGGCACAGAGGATCTCCTTTCTTCCAGTTACATCAATCAGACTGTCAGACAATTGCATCACGAATTGAAGCCTCGGATCAGTGACCTTGCTTGCACTACGTTGCGCGCCCTGTTCAGAAGTATCTCTACTCTGGCTGTTGGATTTCCAACACATGTCGGGATCCAGCCAAGACACGAGAAAAAAAACCAACAATGCGAGGAGCACCGAACAAGCGCTAAAAACAACCAGAACTACTTGATTGCCTGATTGGACGAGTGAATCCCGTATTCTGACATCTGCCTTCGCAAATTCCCTTGGCAGACACACGCTTCGTGTTGGACCACGTGACTAGCTGTTTCCTGAGTCAGCGCGTAACCTGTTTCCTCTGGCATATACACACGTGTGGGTTTTAGGGGCTGGCATTTGCTTCGTTATTACCGTCTCACCGTGACCGTGATGTGATGGCTTCTCGCGGCAAAAGTATACGGATCGCTATCGCGCCAGGGCCGCCTTCGATAAACCCAAGCGAAAATGGAGGCCTGGCGAAAATAGGATATGCCTGCCAGACATGTACAAAGCGCAAGGTGAGGTGCGACAAGACGATGCCGACCTGCTCCAGTTGTCGCAAAACCGGCCTTGAGTGCGTCTATGCGCCGCCTCGCCCGCGGAATCGAAAGCGGAAGCTGAGCGACGACGGGGTTGAGAGACTAGCCCGATATGAGAATATCCTGCGCCAGCACGGATTGTTCGATGCCGATTCCGACCCCCAATCTCCGCCCGAAAACACCCCCGAAAGTCGGAGGCCGGTTAGGGTCAAGGTTATCGACGGACAGCTAAAGTACTCGGACCACGACAGCGGACTTTGGAAACCACTGGAAGAGCTCCGCGCCGAGGATGAAACCGACGAGGAAGACATGGCACCCATTGGCGATCCATTGACCGGAGCATTGGTTGGAAGCACTGAAGTGAACCTCCGTCAATATCGCCCCGCCCCGGCCATCGTTTGGCTGCTCTGGGAAACGTATATGGAAAACGTGGAGCCGCTGTGCAAGATGCTGCATACCCCGACCACCAGCGCCCTGATGCGGCGCATAAGTCAAGAGCTGGTGGTGCCGTACAGGTCCCATGAGTGTTTAGTCTTCTCCATCTACCACTTCGCCGTATTTTCCATGTCCGAGAGGGACTGTTATTCCAAGCTTGGCCAATCTCGGGACACCTTGCTCGATGAGTATCATTACGCCACGAAGCAGGCTCTCATCAACGCCCATTTTCTCCGGACGACCCAACTGTCCGTTCTGCAGGCTCTGGTCCTTCTTCTGCTCGCCTCTCGGGACCACTACGACGCGCGGACATACTGGGCCCTCACAGGGGTTGCCGTCCGCAACGCCCAACGCATCGGCATCCACCGGGATGGGGAGAAGCTTGGCCTGCCGCCCTTCGAAGTGGAGATGAGGCGCCGCCTGTTTTACCAACTCATGCCTCTTGACGCCCGGGCCAGCCAGATGGTGGGTGTCGGGATCTCGATCCTCCCGGCCACGTGGGACACACGGCCGCCCCTGAATATCAACGACGACCAGATCTGGCCGGAGATGACCGAGACACCGGAGGAACGGAATGGGGCAACTGAAATGATTTTTTGCCGGTCTCGCGCGTGCCTCGGCCAGTACTCCATCAAAGTAGGGATGCTAGGGGGGGCGGCGGGGCTCTGGCCCCGCGGCAATCCGTTGGTTATAGCGAAGCAGAGAAAGTCGTCGAACAGGCTGAAAGCGAAGTCGAGGAGAAATACATCCGCTACTGTGACGTTATTAACCCCCTGCACTTCCTGGCAATCTGCATGGCTCGATCCAGGGATCACGGCAATGCGGTTGCGCATCCGATTGCCCACGACAACAAACCACATTGACAGCGAAAGCGACGCTAGTGGGATCCTTCCACTCGCCCTCAAGATCCTGGATACGGACGCGGCAGTATGCTCCCACGCCGGCTTGGAAAGGTATCATTGGCATACCAAAACCTTTTCTCTTTGGGGGACTTGGGACTCCTTCATCTTCGTTCTGACTCATCTGTTAAAGAAGCAGGCCGTGTCTCCGGATGACGTGGGCGCTATCTGGAAGCGGGTAGAGGCCATGTACCGGCATCACGAGGATCTACTCGAGTCAAAACGGTCACTTTACGTGGCTCTCGGACGCCTTACGCTGAAGGCATGGGAGGCTCAGCCCTCTAACGAGATGATGAAGGGTGTCGACGACCCAGGCTTCATCACGGCCTTGCGGCCCGCCCGAGATGGTCCATCGCCAGGCCCGGAAAACCGCAAAAACAGGAAAAGTACACGGGCTACTCAACCAGTATCCATTTCCCCTTCGCAGAGTTCCCCTGAGCTGCCTCAGAGTGACATGTTTGGTGGGATGAATCTGGATGCAGAGTTCGCATTCGATATTGATGGCGCAGATTGGGCTTCTTGGGACCAGTTGATTCAAAACCACGAGGCGCGGAACGATGAATGGGGGTGTGAGACTGGAGAGTTCGGCCTCAGCCACCTCTCGCCGGCGTAACCAACATGCTTGGGCACCAGCTGACGTTGTTTTAAGGCTTTTCGTGATTGGTCAGGGGCTCGGGTGGCCGTCGGCCGAGGCAGGACTTATCACCCGGACGCGCCGGATTATGGAACCCGAGCCGCCATCCGAGTGTCTCGCTCGGGAGGATGCGGCGCCGGTTCGAGCCGTGTATAAATGTCGTGGAACACGGCGCAACGAAATAAAATTTGGGCACCCCCCTATCAGCCATAAACTGAACTTCCCGGGCCACACCTTACCACATCCATTGTCCACACTGTAGTCACGTCAACACCATGTTTGCAGAACCCAAACTACGAGTCCTTGTCGTGGGGGCCTCTATCGCGGGTCCCGCGGCAGCCTACTGGCTTGCCAAAGCAGGGGCCAAAGTCACAGTGATTGAGCGCTTTCCCGAACTCCGAACCAACGGCCAGAACGTCGACATCCGGACCGTCGGCGTGACCGTCATGCGCAAGATCCCGGGCATGGAAGCCGCCGTGCGTGCCAAAGCTGTGCCCATGACAGGCATCAGCTTCGTCGACGCCCATGACCGCCCCTTCGCAAACATCCAAGCGACAGGCAACCCCGACCAACAGTCCCTCGTCTCGGAATACGAAATCCTTCGCGGCGATCTCTCCCAGATCCTCTTCGACCTGACGAATCCCAACCCAAACATAACCTATATCTTCGGCGAGCAAATCGCCTCCCTCAGCACCCCCTCCAACCCCTCCGACCCCGTCACCGTAACTTTCGCCCACGGTCGGCTCCCCCCTCAGCCCTTCGATCTGATCGTCGCAGCCGACGGCGCCGCCTCCCGCACACGCGCCCTTGGCTTCAACTGCTCCGTCCACGAACACACCCACCCCATCGACGCCTGGGCGGCCTACTTCACCATCCCACACTCCCTCATCCCCCCTTCTGCCCCGACCACCGGCCGCGTCTACAACCTCCCCGGCGGCCGTTTCATCGGTATCGCCCCCACGACACAACCGGGCACCACCCAAGTCACCCTCATGCGCACCCACTTCCGCAACGCCAACAACAGCAACTCAACCACCAGCATACACGCCTTCCGCACCGCCGCCCAATCTACCAACCCCTCCCTCCTGCGCCAATACATCGCCGACACTTTCAAATCCCCCACAGCCACCCCCACAACATCCACCCCCCCCAACATCCACCCCAACGTGGCACACCCCCACCATCACCACCGCCCTGCTCGCCCTCCCCCCCCACCGCATTCTATGCCACCGAACTCGTCCAAGTCAAACCCCCCAGCCTCTCCCACGGCCGCGTCGTACTGGTCGGCGACGCGGGGTATGCTGCGGGACCGACGGGGGCGGGGACTAGTCTCGCGCTGGTGGGGGGGTACGTGCTTGCGGGGGAGATTGGTGCCGCGCTGAGGGCTGTTACGGAGGGGGATGGGAGTGGGGGTGTATTGGATTTGGATTTGGACGGGGCGTTGCGGCGGTATGAGGGGGTGATGGGGCCGGTGGTGCGGGAGTTGCAGGGCGTGCCGGGATATGTGTTGGGTGTGTTCGCGCCGCAGACGAGGTGGGGGTTGTGGGTGCGGAATGCGGTGTTGTGGTTTGTGTGCTGGTCGGGGTTGTTGGGAGTCGTGCAGAGGTGGTTGGCGAGGGCGTTTGGGGAGGGGAAAGAGGGGGCGTTGCCTGAGTATGAGTGGCTTGCTTGAGGGGTGGTGTTGACTGATGTAGCGTAGATCGGTCCAGTCTCCACTCCATCGGAACAGAAGAGATGCATAAGGTTTATTATTCAGTTTCTCGTGCCTGATCTCCTAATAACACTCTGGTCATCACTCATGGCAGCCTAAGCATTCCCCTTACCCACACAATACCGATACAGTGCCAACTTTAATCATTACTTCACCAAGTCGCGCCTTGTCATTCTCCAATATCCCACACAGCACCCCCCCACCCCTACTTCCCCTTCGGCGCGTCCGTCAACGGCACATACCTCACCCCATACTGCTTGGTCCTCGTAACCTTCCCATCCTTATCCTTATCCACCCAAAAGATATGCTGCCCCAACTGACTCGTATCATCATCCACCGGAATAAACATCCTCCCCGGCGCATTCAGCTGCTCCAACATCTCCGCATGCACCTCGACCGCCGCGGCCCCCACATGAATCGCATCCCACTTCATCGCCTCCTCCCCGGGCTCCACCCAGCCCTTCCTGCCATCCCCCACCCTAAACCTGACCCTGCCAGCCTCCAAAAACCGTCTCCCCTCCTCCGACCTCCGCACATTCCCCTCCCCCAGCTCCTTCAGCGCCGCGATGTGCTCCACACCGACCACCACCCCGCCCTGGTCCCCCACCAGCTCGGCCATGACGTGGGTGAGGTAGCCGGAGCCGGAGCCGACGTCGAGGACGCGCGGGGCGGGCCGCGCGTCGGACGGCAGGATGAAGGGCAGCAGGGCTTCCACGGCATTGGCGTGCATGTGCGGGGCCGAGATGGTCGCGTGGTGGCCGATGGGTTGCGGCGAGTCGTCGTAGGGGGTCGAGGGCGCGTAGTGCGCGCGGTCGACCTACGTTGGGGTGGGGGTTAGTCGGTGGAAGTGTTCGGCGGGAGGTGGATATCGCAGGCGGTAGAGGGGGGACGGCGTAGAAGAGGTGGGGTTGAGGACATACCTTGGAGAAAGGCTTCGCGGACTCGGGCTGTCCTTTGATGAGGCCGTTCTTGGCAAGGTTCTCGATTAGGCCCCGGTTGGAGGCGGCGGAACTGCGCCAGGCCATGTTGATAATGGGGTGTAGAGCGGGCAGTGGCGGGCAAGTGTGTAATGGTGATGCTAGAACGAGGCTAGTGGTTGTGATGCTGCACAGGCGCGCGAGCGGCAATGTTCCTAGTAGCAAAGGGACCAGCAACCTGCGGTTCGCCAGCGTTGTTTAATGCAAGGAAGTTGTTGATACAGACGGGACTCGTCAAATTATTCTGGTTGATAAGGAGGCTCGGGAAAGTTGCTAGGCGCTCAGACGAGCTTGATGCCGTGTAACAAGTGGAGGCTGACGGCAACCACCAGGAACTGTCTTTGTGATGACGGATTTGACGTTAAAGTGATGTAATGCGAAGGCCAGATCAGCCCTGCGACTGGCGGGAAGAGGTGATCTCACCCCCGCACCAACCCCTCTTGCCATATGCAGACTCAGGCACCTGGCCACTCTCCAACGTCCATGAGGAGTCTAGGATGGGGGTCGAGGGCAAACCGTCATGGGAAGCAAGGGGCGTGTGAGAAAATAATCTGGGCAGCGTCAATTTCATGTAAAGCGCTATAATCACATTAGGCTATTGAGATGACCGGATTGCTTGCTGTGTTGCGATTTGTATGAGGAACACGACCTTGACCTTGAAACCAAACCCCTGTTGAATCCCAGAAACGCCATCGCGTGTGTGCTACGCTTGAAAGACCTTGACAAACCAAGAAATGCTATACCACTCTCTCCGGGTTCTCGCCCGTCGCAATGATCGGAATCCCCAACCCCCGGTCCGGGCTTTGCAGGACCAGCTGCTCGTGCCTCCGCACCTTCAGGTAGTCGCTAACTGCCCTGATCAGGATGAACCAGCCCGCAACCATCAACACGTACGCTGCCCAGTCGGTCCCCGTGATCTCATCGCTCCCGCTGCCGTTGACGTCGTCTTGGTTGAAGTTGTGCGAGTTTGGGTCTGACGGGCTCGCGTAGCCATCCCCACCCATCGACGACTGCATTCCTTCGCCAGAACCGGACCCGGGGGCGCTCTTCATGTAAAACCCGTACTGGATCAGGATGATGCCCAGGCCTGCCCGCGAATCCGTTCTTGGCTGCGTGGGTCGAGTGTAGGAGGTAGGTGAGAAGGAATCCGACAAACTGGAAGGCCATCGATATCATGGCGTTCCATACGAAGCCGAAAAAGGAGCCCACGGGCAAGCCGTCAATGAACACGTCGTCGGGGCCACCGAGTCCGGGGGCGAGAATCGTTGTCTCCCAGTATGGGGGAGCTTGATCAGCTGCTGCTTGTTCGTAGGACTAGACAAGTCAGTATCATTGCGTAACCGACACCACGGAATCAACTTACCGGAGGCAATTCGTCCTTCTCGGTGTCGCCGGTCTCGGGTTTCGCCGAAAGATTTGAGAACACGCCGTCTGACTGGATACCGCCGCCATAGACCCTGGATGTCGTCGGTGCTCCTCCCGTGGGTCGCGTTATTTGTGTTGGCTGTCCCCCAGGCTGTGCCGCGGCACCCGTCCGTGTCGCATCGTTAAAGGATGGCGTCGAATTGCCGCGCACTAGCCGCTGCCTGTCGTCCGTCTCGTCCTCGCTCTCGTCTCCGTCGGCGTCAAACGCATCGGCGAGGTCGGGGTTGACGGTATTGGATCGCTCTCTCGACGATGTCCGCGAGCGGAAGGATGGTGGAGGCGAGTTCGGGACCGGGTGCATCGGCCTTGGCAAGGGGTCCGTTGGTGTTTCGGCTTCATCGTCGTGGGCGTTCACCTGCGAGGTTGTTAATCCAAACTCGTTCCGGGCCTGTTCTGCAGGTCGTGGCGCTGAAGAGACTCGTACCCGTTCGTACCGGCCCGACATGATGGAAGCGGAAAACAAAATCGGGTGCGCGCAGTCGAGATTAGGGTTGATTTTGGCCCCTCAATCGGTTAGGAACAGCGCATCAAGTTGCCGCGAGGCGAGGTTGCGGCGGAGCGAAGTGCGTATTTGACCAGAAAAATAATAAGAGAGAACGAATAGGAGATGTCGCGGGGGTTCTTCGAAAAAAAAAAAAAAAGGCAAAGGAAATGAGCGCGCGGCTCTGTGGGAATTCTAAGGGGTTGAACCTGGGGGGTTGTTGGTGATGAAGCAACAAAAGGGACCAACAGGGTCACGAACAGGTGACGAACCGATGGAAGAGTGGCGGCTGACCAAAGTTGCGTTGCGCCAAGACCGGCGGCGGCCTCAAGGCCAAGTTCCACATATTTCCGGATGAGACCAAGCGAATGGGGTGCTGGACCAACCAGAGGTCGGACCCACTATCAATTAGACATTTGCTGCACTCGCGGCGCGGCTTCAGAGAATTTGGCGAGGATTCCGCAAGGTTCGACGGGTTTGGCAACTATGTCTGGCGCAGCAAGAAGTGTCAGTCCCACCGCTGCGTTATTTTAAAACGAACGGATCTTGACTCACAGGATCGTCTAGGCCGCAGCAAACCATTTCCGGGGTGCGCTCGCGCGCTGGCCCAAGGACCCCCTCCGGCCCGAGTGTCAACTGCAGGATATCCTCGCCAAGCGCCTCGAGAAGGGCAAGTTAGCGCCCGTAACCGCCGGAGCAAAGCAGGAGCAGGCCGATATCAAGCAGGCCAATGCGCTATATTCATTGTTGGAGGACCGGTACAAGAACAAGGTTTGCGCATTTTGGCATTTGCAAGGAACCTGCGCGGAGGCTAACCTGGCGCAGTACCGACCCGCGGCCAAGATCTTCGAACCCCAGAGCAACCCGACTTACTACAAAGACCTCGTCAAGGAGCTCGAAGAGGCACCGACCAGGTCATGGCTACAAAGGTTAGGTAAGAGGCTTAGCGGTATTGTCCGGATGGGATGATGAGTCACGGAATCGGATCTGTACAATACAATGCGTTGCATGGATGAGGCGTCTGGCGTTTGGGCACCACGGGCGATATTCAACTCTTCCATTTTCCAGTCAAACATGTCCGCCTTTTGTCTACCGAACCAATTGGGGGTATACACTCGCCGCCCGCCCAAATGCAAACAGTTCAAAACGCCCACGGTGCCCAGCCGTGGACACCTGCCCCTCCTATCCCCCACCTCCACCCCTCCTATCCCACTCAAATATACCTCCTCTCCGGATCCAACCGATCAAACATTTCCATACTCTTCTCATACATCGTAAACACAATCCCCCCACTCATAATCAACCTCGCCAGCCTCGGCAACGCCCCACTCCAAAACGTCAACACCCCCTCCTGCTTAAAGATCAACGCCGCACAGCGAAACGAATTCCCATACAGCGCCCTCGCCTCAATGCTCTGCATGCGCGTCTTGATCGTATCCAGCGGCTGCGTCACATAAACCGTAATCAGCCCAGCCACGCCGCCCATTGCGAAGGTCGCCGCGGCGCCCAGTTTCTCCCCGGGCGCCGTGTACCCCTCCGCCAGCTGCTTGAGCGCCGTGTAGGACCCGAAGCGCGTCGCGCTGTTGGCGGCCTGCCGCGCGGTGGTCGGCACGAACCCCTGGAAGAAGCCGCGGATGCCGCGCTCGCGCGCGATGATGGGCACCGCGTGCAGGAAGCCGCGCATGCGCGGGTTGGCGGATTTGCGGTCGTCGATGCTGTGGGGGGGGGGGGGGCGGTGGTTAGTCTGGGTGTGGGAGAGAGGGGTGTAGAGCGGGGAGATGGGTGGAGGGTGCGTACAGAGTGGTCTTAATACTCTCCGTCGGGGTGACGGCGAGAAGGGACTCGGTCACGCCGGCGCCGAAACCGGCGAGCACCGTCCGCGGGCCCGACATCTTGCCGTCGGCGTCGACGAGCAGTTTTTTGTACTGGTCAAAGGCGACGAACCCTGCCGGTTCCCATTAGTCCTGTCCCTGTGTGTGTGTATGACCGCCGGAATCACCTACGAATGCCTGCCTTGGCCGAATTGCCAATGATCAGGGTCGTGCACCCCGCATACCATTGCTTCCCGAATGGCGGCCATGGCAGTTTCTGGCCTGCGGCTAACCTGCGGTTGAGCTGTGTCCGTGTCTTGGCGACTGCGGCGTATGTCAGGGTGTCCGTTCGGGAGGGGATTCGGTCTTGCGAGACCAGTCAAAACGTACATTCGGCCGGGTATGTGATTGCTGTCGCGTGACTGGGTTAGCGATTGCGCATGGAGCTTTTGGAGGACGACTCACCAATTTCCACGGCGCCAGCGGTTGCGCCAGCGAGGATAGATCGCAGGGCACTCGGCCCCTTCACGGCCGGGTGCGCATCTTCCTTGGCCGGTGCGGAAGGCATCATGGACGTGTTGCTGCGGGCTGCGGGCTGCTGTTGTCGGAGGAGGAGGACCAGGGTCCCGCTTTCGAACTTTTGGTTCGGGTCTGCGGCGCCAAGACACCGCTGCCGATCCAGGCCCGATGATGTAATTTGGTCTCGGCGATTCAGAATTCATGACCAGGTCACTACCATAACTAGGGCGCCACGAGGTGCTGACAAAATGAAATACCAGGTTGCGGTCATTGACCCGACAAAACTCCAGAATTAAGTAGCAATTGCTCTTGATCGAAACCTCAGATTACTACGTGTACATGTACATGAGTACAACATAATCAGATTGTAGACATGTCATATCCGGTACAGCCACCCATTGTTAATAATATCCAAAGGAAGGGGAACCTTCCCAACACGGATCTGAAGAGGAAGCTTAGTATAGTTTTAACTCAATCTTAACATTGAAGCCATGGTTTTGTATCTAATTCTCTATCCACCATCAAAGAAGACGGACAGGCCGATCTCTCATTGTTGACCGCTTGTTGCCAGTGGTGTCTCAACCTCCAAATCCACGCCCTGTGCTACTGCAGTAACATCAAAGACAACACTGCCCTACCATCACCACCTCCCAACCACCAACCAACCATCCCTATGCACCCCATCCCCATCCCCCCACCCAATCTCTCCCTCCCCCTCACCCCCTCACCCTCCCAATACCACCCCTTACCCGCTCCACCCCCCCTTCATAGTTAATGCGTGCAATGGCTTCTAAGATAAACAGACCGGGTCCCGACCTCTTTGCTGCCTCTGCTAGCGGACACGTACATAGTTTTGTCCCTCCCGCTTTACCGGTTCTTTCACTGGGGGTACATCGCTCTCGCTCGGAAAATGCTTGTAGATCTGTCTACACCAGGGGGGTGGCCGCCGTCTCGACCAAGAAATCCATGATCGTGACTATGCTGGTTTCTCGATGGGAGGGCGAGCGACCGTTGGGGTATGAAACACTGCTATGA